TATTTTCTAGGAATAAACTAAGTTATAGTCCCACATGTCTGGAATACTCAGGAGTTTGGGGAATAATTCTTTGTTCTAAAGATCCACGCAAACTAATGGGTCATTTTTAAAGAAATATATAAAAAGAGCTTGCAAAAATTTGAAAGCATGCCTGTTTATTTTGTGAGATTCATATCAGAGAAGTCTAAATCTGCCTATGTAAGAGCTGTAAAACAAGATTATTTTATAAGATTTACAAAATGACTGGGTTTTGTTTTTAAATACTTTTAATATCTCTTAGCTTTCAGAATTTCAAAATAGCTAATCAAAGCAAATGTGATTTAAGAAAGTTCAAAAACATGAGAACTAAATCAAAGCATTTAGGAAGACTATGTATGGTATGCTTTAAATTTATGTATTACATTAAATCATAATGCATTACATTTATTATCAAGTTTAGACTGATAGCCTTGTGAAATTTTTCAGAGATGCTGCCCTGACATCACCTGGATTATAACAGGGTAGAATCAAATTTAATAAAATCCTAATTCCCATCTACAATAGTTCAGAATATGGTAGCAAATAAATATAGAAAAAGCAAATGTTTTTGCAACCCAGGTAAGGAAGTTTTGGGGGTTTTTTTGGGGGGGGGGTGTTGTTTCACATATTCCATTTTCACTTGAACTGAAAAGTTCAGAAAACAGAGAATTAAATCAAGGCGTTTAGGAAGAGTATGGTACAAATTTACACATTAAACGAAATCATAGTACACATTTGTTTAGATTGATGTATTAACTGAATTTCATAGTTTAAACATCATCTTTGCTGGCTTGGCATAATTTATTAACTAGATCACTTCAGGATTTAAAAAAAAATTACTAGTGTTTGGGCTTCACACAATGCTCTTTCTCACAGCCAAATGAATGTATTTTCCTCCCATGTGCTTATTCCTGCACCCTATTTTTACTGACTGAAAAGATGATTAGGTAGTGTTACTACCACCACACACATTAATGTAGGATAGTTTTAGGGAAATATTGGGTAAATTCTCTGACAGTATTTCCCCTTATTCAGCACTTCCAATTGGCAATCACTCTCCTGAACATTATGGCAGGCCAGGTTGGGGTTCAAGCCTTTATAATTGATTAGCTTTCATGTTTTATTATTTACTGCATACAGCTTCCAATAGGCCCTTCTGAGATGTTGCCATGTCATTATCTGGATTATAACAGGGTGGAATCAAATTTAATAAAATCCTGATTCCCATCTGCAGTTCAGATAATGGTAGCAAAGAAATACAGAAAAATCAAACTGCGTTTTTGCAACGCAGGTATGGAAGTCTTTGTTTTTGGATTATTATTTTTTACATATTCCACTTTCACGAAACCTTTAACTACCTTATACCTCATAATTCATTGGCAGCTGAAACCTGTTCAATTTCAATAATCCATAACTAATGGAAAACCTTCTCTTCAGCCTGGAACAGCGATACTCACTTCGAGCTTTGGGATAGAAATTAGGAGCCAGTACAGCGCTAGAAAAGCCAAGCCTTTGCTCCCCATCATCCCTTCTCCTTCCTTCCCCTCGCAGGACTCCTCTCCTTGCAAGTTGATTTGGGATGATGCTCCGACGCAGCCGGACCAAGAGCGGAAGGGAATATATTGTACATAATAAGGATATCCTATCTCTCCCAAGGAGGGTGGGGGGGTGGATCTCGATTTTATTCAGCTGCCTCCAACTTTGGTGCGAAAGGTACTGGAAGGCCCATTCTGAGCAAGTCAAGAGACTCCGGTATTTTAACGGTATGGGGGGGGAGGGAGGGAGGGGGGCAGAGTGGTGAGGAGAGGCGGTTCCTCTGCACATGCTCAAAGGCATGCCTTCTGCCCAGCTTTTATCCAAGGTTAGGGTGCCTCTCGACATAGCCGAAAGGTCGTGTTGCAGAGGAGAAAAAAAGGCTCAGGTTGGGCGAGGCGCCGGCCGGCATGCCCTCCCTTACCCCCGCCACCCCCTCCTCCATCCGAGCTCGCGCACCCTCCGCGAGACCCGGGCTTGGCGGGGAAGGCTTCTCCCGGCTGGCCCGCTTCGCTCTCCTGCCTCCTCCAATCGCGAGCGCCCTTACTGCCGGGTGGGCTGAGCGGCTCGCCTGCTGCACGCCCAGCTGATCCGAGGCTCAGCCATGGTAATGTCTGCCGCTTTGTTCTTGCAACACCCCCCCACCCTCCCCCGAAGATCCGGGGCGGAGATCGGTTCGGGGGGCGGAGGGGCGCGCGTGTGGCACGGTCCAGGCCTGCGAGGGAGGAGTGGGGTGGAGGGGGGGGGGAAGGCGTGCACTTTCGTCCGCGGGCCGCTTGTCTCCCGATTCGCTGCCCGGATGGAGAAGCCCTCGTGCCGCGCCCCCCCTCCCTTCTCGCCCCTTCTGTCCCCATCCCGCTCCTTCGATGGAGTCCTCCGTGCTTCGGGGTTGTGGCGGGGCGCGTGTAAACGGGGGTTCTTGCCTCCCCCCCGCCGGAACTCCGGGGTCAGGGATGAAAATGGGCAGCGGGGGAGGCTGCAAACTCCCAGTTTTGGCAAACGGATGGAGAGAGGGAGAGAGATGTGCGCCGTGCGGAGAAATTGCAGAAACCTCCAGCTCGAAACAGAGGCATTCATAAGCAGCCGCCTGCAGCTGTGGGGAGGAATAGGCGCACCTCCACGCGCGAAGTGTAGCTGGCCTGCCTTTTCTTATTCCAAGCGCAGGATCTGAGTGGGCAACGTTCCTTGAGCATTGAGGATAAATTAGGCTGAGTTGAGGCAGCCTCCCCCCCCCCTTCCAGGCCAGCATGGATCTCAGCTCTCAGTCTACGGAATGGACTGCATTTTGTCAGTTTTCTTCTCTGTATCTTCAACCACCCACAGACACCTCAACCCCAGGAGGAGGGGGCACATGGGAGTAAATTAGAGGCGTGGGAATGTACCCATTTAATAATCACACAATCAAGACTGCATGCTGCATGGGCAAGAGACACTGCCTAAGAGGCATAGATGTGCAAAACCATATGAATGTGGTTTTTTTGCACATGTGCATGTATTTAAACATGTACATCAAAGTAGGGCCATATGAAAGTGTGTAGATGTATGTTTAGTATAAAAGAATTTGCAGAGACATAGACATGGCTGTATCTATGTGAACTGTATAACTTGATGCATGCATTAAAGAAGACTGTTCCTCACAGGGTAATCTAAAACGCCATGTGAAGGAGTGGACTGAATTTTCAGAACAGCTTTTGGAGAGAGAGAGAGTATTATTAAGATAAGAGGGAGTTGAAAATGCATGGAAATAAATTCTCCCGGATGTTTTGTTTAAATGTACCATTCTAGATATTTTAAAACCTGTGTGAATCCTAGTCTGGCCATAGATGAATTCTGAGGGTTGTTCGTGAGATTGTTCAGCAGAGAAACATCTGGTTGCCTGTAGAAACTGCATTCTCCAAATAAAGCAGGGAAAAAATGATAAATTGGCTGGAAGGGCCAAGAATCTTAGCCTCTATAAAGCAGTTTTCTAGGTTTTAATTTCAAGCAACACCCCCCAGCTTTTTCCTAATATTGGACCTTGGCTTAACCCAAATAGACTCTCAATCTTCCCAATGCCGCGACCCTTTAATACAGTTCCTCATGTTGTGGTGACCCTCAACCATAAAATTGGTGTCTCG